AGTATGCACCCCACTTCTTTTGATCCATGACTTATGGGACACCCTGTATATGTCGGCGTCAATTAGTGAAATCCGTCATTCCCTGGAATGCCTAGTCATTTCACGTATTGCAGGCAAACAGCGAAACTTCAATTTTCAGGAGTTACTCTGTTTTCCGGAGGCGCCGGAAGGTTGAGGAAGGAAAATATCCTTTCTGCATAAGCATAAAAGAGGAGACTATTTTTCCCAAACAAAATCTAACCATACTCGGCCTAAATAAACCTTTTCCTAGAAAGAATATTCTTCGGAGAATAACTTGAGAGAACAAAAGAAACTTACGAAGCTCTGGAAGGGACACATAAAATGAAAAAATAAAACTCTTTCAAATTCTGAGTTATAACACGGAATTTTACATTCAAAATTCCGAGTTACAACTCAGAATTTTAAAATTCCGAGTTATAACTCAATACTTCCGAGAATATTTTGCCCCCCTCTAAAGATAATATCCGATGGACCAGTGTAAAACTCAACATGTGGATTAGAAATAAAAATATTGACGCTCTGCCACTAACTTAGATCAGTTGGAAACGCGGCACGTTTGGATATTCGCAAAGGGAATTTATTTTCCTTTTTTGTTTCACATGACGGAAGTATGTCCGGAATGATAGCACCAAATGAATCGCTGTGCGGTGGATTTGGCTCAGACTGAGATCTAACATTCAATTGGTATCGGATGGCATAATTCTTATCTCGTTATCAAATCGCGAAATCGAGTGCATATTCCCGCACAGGAAAGTGCAATATTTTAATAATTTTGCTGAGGATAGTTCCTACTAACTGTTGGACGCCGACATATACAGGGTTATGATAAAGTAATGCACAAAATTCATAAAACGTACAAAGATCACTTTTGAAAAAAATGCAAAAACACGTCGAAACTGATTTTCTTATTCCGCATCTTTTGACATGAGTTACAAAAATAACACGTCAAAGTTGTCAAAGTTATGACGTCATCAACAATTTTTTTTAATGGGAAGCTAAGATTTTCATTACATTATGTGATAGAGCTTGTGTTTTTACACAAGGGAAAAATAGTTGCATAGGGCTCACATGATGTAATAAAAATCTTAGCTTCCCATTAAAAAAAATTGTTGACGACGTCATAACTTTGACAACTTTGACGTGTTATTTTTGTAACTTATGTCAAAAGATGCGGAATAAAAAGAACAGTTTGACGTGTTTTTGCATTTTTTTCAAAAGTGATCGTTGTACGTTTTATGAATTTTGTGCATTACTTTATCATAAACCCTGTATATTGGTTTCATACTAGATGGTAGCGACTGATGTTGGTTTCATTTTTGAAAGAAAATTGATCAAGGTAGCTTATTACTTATTTTTATTGGACTTTGATACTATTGTAATTTTTTTGAGATATATTTTTTACGTATGAGATTCTAAAAGTTTTTAACATTTCTAAATTGAACACCAGAGGTCGGACATGCCAATCCGTCAAAAAATATAGCTGATTTTATGAAAACACATCAGGTATAATTTAACATTCAAACTATTCGTCGGAAATTGAAGGATTGGATTCCTTGGCTTATTCGACTAAAACAAATTAGTATTGATATGGATTCGCACTGTTTTTGAAGGATATAAAAGAAATCATGTTTTTTTACGATATCTCAGGAATGAGAGAGAGATATCAGCAAACCTTTTGAGCTAGCGAACTCAGATAATATCATCAATCTTAGCCACTTTTCAATCCCTAATTGAATTGTCATCATATATTATCTTTATTATTATTCCCAAGAAACATACATGTTTATAGCAGGGAAAATTATGAAAGAGCAACTAATATATGCCATCAGTGACGAAGATTTCTGAGCATGGTTCGAGGTATGTTTTTTGGCATTCTGAAAGCACAATTCGAACAGCCAAAATAGGCGTTTTCGGAAACTTACTCTGGGTTGATAACTCGATCCAGATAGGTCACGTGACAAAAAGCTCGGATCATCTACTCGTGTTCAAAGTTTACGAACGTGTCAGGTTATGAACGAACAATGAATATTATATTTTTCCTGTGGTTTCATGAATTTGACAGACGAAAATGGTCACATGATATTCAAGTAATTATTTGATCTGATTACAAATATTTATATTTACCTGTGAATTGGTGTACTTGTCTCATATGTGTTGTTGCACATAACCACAAACTTCATCCCTACCCAAATTCTCTTCTCAATGAATTACTTTAATCAAATTATGAAGATTGAAAAGAACTTGTATATCACCGGTCGTGATTTTTCCACTGAATTATAACTAAATTATTTTATTATTATTGTTATCGTCGAATGTAAACTCCCGCGTTTTTTGATTGACTTAAATTCCGTAATGCGCATGCGGTGTTCTTTGCAACTCTGGCGACCCTGCTTTTGAGTAGGGTCACGAAAAATCAACCCGAGTCAGTGATCGAGTTAGCATCATTCGAGTTTCCGAAGTGAGGTAGGGAACTCGGTTTGGGTAACTGAACGTTCAGGTTAGGGATCCGAACGACCCGATAAGTTTCCGAAAACGCCTATAATGTTAAAGCTGTGAACAAGAAAAACGCTATTTCATTGTGGAGAGAACATTGAAGAAGTAGCTTAGCTTAATGATCACAAAAAACGGTTATATTGCAAAAGTGAGCAAATGATGAGCATGATCAAAAACAAATGAACTTATTTAATCTCTAGTAGAAGTCCATGTTATCTCAAAGTAGAGTGTTTGATTGGCAATGGGGGGAAAAACTCAAAGTGGAGACGACTCTGAGTTTTCCCCCCCATTGTCACAAATGTATTTGTTGACAACAAAACCAAATTGGTACTTTTTTGTGTCTTTCAATATTATAATGTTCCGTTTTCCTCTAAAATTGTGCACGTAAGTTTTTGATCAAGTTTTCCTTTTTTGTGTAGAAAAAAAATCATACTGGATGTTTCTAAATGTGTTCTCACTTCTCAGAATATGATTTTCCCAGTATCATAGAGATTAGAGGCAGAAAATCTTACGCAACCCTTATGTCTTCGTCACTGGCAGATGAAAGAAATTGAATCAAGGTCCGAAAAGTAACTATTTAACATTTATAAAGAGATGCGTACCTTCTTGAGCTAATGAAATCTGTATCTCAAACGGTTCCCGAGATATCCTGCTTAAAAAACAAAAATGTGTATGTCGAAAACGGTACATTTGCGGACCCATAATATGTTGATAGGAACTTTTTTTCTTAGAAGTAGCTTTGGCCAAGGAACAATTTGTTTTTTTACATCTATTCAAATAGAGTCAGAAAAAAATTGAAAAGAAATCGCAAATATTCGGTTTTTTCCAAATAAACTGGGCGTCAATTGAAACGTTAATAGTGAAATTTGGCATCAAGTTTGACTTCTCGTAATTTCTAAAATATTGAACGAATCTTGAATTGCCGCCCAGATTCTGAATGCCTTTTTCATCGTCTTTAGAATCGTTCCTTACAGTTTCTTCTAAATTGATCAGGACCCGTGATACAGGGTGAAACGAAGTTTCGTGCATTTTGAAAAAAATTTCTCCGCCCCCCCATTTTGTCGGAAGACCACGATGCTCATATTTTATTCAGGCATTTCATAAATAGCAACCATACCTCGGGACGTTTTCGAGTTTTTGCCAAAAACTACTGTGGTTTCCGGAAATTTTTTTTTTGTATTTTTTTCAAATGGACTAATTTTACAGGAGTTCCATAAATGGATGCTTTTATGCATTTCAGGCAAGCGTTGGAGCAGATATGTATACCAAGTTACTCAAAACCAATCAATAATTTATTACTTCGCAGTCTATGATGAAAGTTTTCTACCTTAGTGAGCAGTAAATCAACACATCTCATCAACGAAAACAAACAACGATACCTTGTGTCTATAACAACGTATTGTTGAAACAATGCAGGTATGCATAGAGATTATATCAATTGCCAATTTTCATGAAAACGTTACTGTACTTCGGGTCCTAAAAAATTTAAAGATGCCTTGTTCAAATCGGGTCCAAATGGAAAATATCATTAGGTAAGATCACTATAGTGATATAAACTATAATTCAGTACAGATAATTATTATTTCAGGTTACGACGACTAGGATATACCCAAACTCATTTAAATACCATTTTCAATAATTCAGTCATGATAATAAATAGACTGATTCATCGTTTTGAGGATACAGGTAATCAGTCCATTAAAAAAAAATCAAAATAGTTTTTGGCAAAAACTCGAAAACGTCCCGAGGTATGGTTGCTATTTATGAAATGCCTGAATGAAATATGAGCATCGTGGTCTTCCGACAAAATGGAGGGGCGGAGAAATTTTTTTCAAAATGCACGAAACTTTGTTTCACCCTGTATCATGGGTCCTGATCAATTTTGAAGAAGCTGTAAGGAATGTTTATCTTCGGAAGTATTAGAAATGTTTCAAATTTCAAAAAGGCATTTTCTTAGGCATAACTTTGCCTCTATTTAACCCTCTGTAGCTCTTACCATTTCTGGGATCCCCATGCATCTATTAGAATCCCACTTACCCGGTATATAACCTTTATTTTTTTACGGATTTGCATGTCCGACTGCTTGTTCTATTCACAAATGTGGACAACCCTATAAAATCGTTGAGTTATCAAACTGGCCTGGGGCCTCGCTTGATAAGTTGTTCATTTCATATCATAATATGAATCTTTAAGATAATGATATCGTAAATATCTATTATCATCCTAAACCTATGAAATAATACTTTCACCTAGCTACCTCGGTAATTCGGTACATTCTGCTCAAACAAAACATGTCAAAAAATGCTGAATATATATTTGTATGAAATTGAGATATTCCCATCAGAAAAATTAATTGTGTGATTCACTTAACAAATCATATCAATCATTTATCAGAACCGATAAGGATGATGTTAATAATAAGGATGATTATTTATAGGTTTCCAATTTGACACAATTATCATTGTTGAGCAGTTTCATTCACAGCAATGGCTTATGAAGAACAGACAGTAATATTTTGTGTAACTTACAATGGAGTTGATCGATCCTTTGAACTCCTAGAATATGATGTGGTTGGTGAGTGAAATATTTATATTCTTGGTACAATAGTTATTTATTATACAAGGGAAACAAGTTGTAGATTTCAGCTCGAGGTCGCGAGACAAAAAACCGTGAGCTGAAAAATCTAATATTTTTCCCGTGTATAATGCACTATTTTTTTCTGTGACAGGAAAAAGTACGAATCAATATTGAGAAGATATTACATTGTATCAAAATCAGAAAATTATCGACGTGAAATTTGAAGTGTGCTACAGGAATTACACCTGCGTTGCAGGCATCTTCATCATTCTTTTGAAGTAATCAAATATCGGTCAGTCTAACTCTGTGATTTGATTTTAAAAAATTTCGAACTTAGTGGTTGTTTAGTGATGTAGGTAAATGCGAAGTGGAATGGAAGATAAAAGGACTCAGTTCTTTCTCAGAATAGTAATTTCGGAACTATCACTACAAACGCCATAAACAGTACACCTATATATCGGGGAAAAAAGTAATTTATGAAAAGTGACATTTTAAAAACTGTCAACAGAGATGAAATGTCAAACTTTTTTCCCGTCACAGAATAAAATATTTTTCCGTCGACCTCGTATTAACGAGTAAGTTTAATGTTCATGAAATCGTTCATTAATGACCCCTATTAATGATCAATTTGTCTATTAATGCACGATTGTTTTATAGGCAACCAAACATACACCGCGTGCATTCATTGTTTATGCTGTAACTTACGGAATCTGCATTTAAAGCGAAAATATGGATTTCATCGAAGATTTTCCGTTAACGGGTTCGCCTTTTCAAGTTTCTGACACGATTTCAATCCTTGTTCTCTAACACAAGGAATTTATTTTCTATGTTGATCATTTAGACAAATGTCAAATGTCACTGATGTCAGTAACAATGCTACTGGGAGATCCTTAGCAGTTTCCGGATGAATGATGAATTCGCGAACCAAGTTTTCTTCATTACAGGAGGAATGAGAAATATAGTCGACGGAAAAATGTTGTAACCAACTTGTAGATTAAACGGCGATTAATGATACACTAGTTGGTTAAATAACTATTTTTGCACTTGACCGACCTGTTAAACCAAAAGGCATTGAAGTATATTTAAAAAACGGTAACACTCGGGTTAAAATGTCTATGGTTAGACTTTAAGTATAGGGAAAGCTGCTGAACATCATTCTAAAATAACATTGCATTGAAAAATATAGCTTCCTCTTGAAAATAACGAAGTTGGTTCATGTCCACTTCCGGTATAACCGGAAGTGTCGCCATCTTGGACCCAATCGATGTAGATTCTAGACCCCTGTCTATAAATTTTCAGGTCAGTGTTATTTTCAGAACTCCAAATAGGTCTAATGCGCGGTTTAGACGGAACAGCCTGTATATGTTTTTAATGAAAAATCCATTCCATCTTTTTCATCAAAAGCTTGAAAATTATTTACGCATTTCTGTATTTTCAGGATCTTTGAAAGAACGCATTTCGAGAATTTTTGATATACCACCAGAAACGCAGGTCATCGATGGATGGAAAAATGTACCGGAAGCTGATAACACTATATTGCAATCATGTGGCGATACACGTTGTGTTACTTTTCTGAGCGTTCGATGTTTAGAGAAGAGTGATAATAGAAGAAATGAAAATAATGCCACCTATGATGGTAATTGCAGTTCCATGAATTTCATCAATAATATATTATTCATAATTCAAAACATTTCTGTTCTTATTTTTGGAGCATGAAAGATAAGATTCGAAGTGAATAACTTTAGCACTCCTAAGCATGAAACTTGAGGGTTCTAGGGTACTTTGATGCAAACTGACGTATTTGTCATCTAACAGGGTTCGGACAGATCATTAGCTCCTTTCTCTTTTAATCATCTAGTGACTGGTTTCGTGTATTGGCGTTTCATTTATTTGTTTTGTATATTTTTTTACAAGTTTGAATTTAAAACAGAGTGAGTTTTGACAAATTGATCCAAAATGCTAGTTTCACAGATTTTTTGCAGACTATGGATCAATTTTTCGAATCACACTTTGTTTGTTTGTCTCCTTCAAGTTAAATGGAGATTTGGATTGTGGGAATAACGACAATAAAAGTGGTCAAAATTTAAAAAAATTGTCCTTATTCTCGCAATCCCAATCTGCCATAGTTTGTATTGTAGAAGTTGTTTTAAAGGCAGACGTTGCTTTTGTCATGTTTGTTTGTTTCACATAGGTACATTTTATTCAAATCATGAGTAAGAAGATGACGGAATATTTCAAATTTGGACAATGCCTTGAATGTCATGTGGCAAGCAATATTCCCACACTCAAATCAAATAAAGGAAATATGCCTAATAATTAGCCCTGAGATAGTGATAAAGATAAGGAAATACTCATAAATTGAAAACGCCGCAACCGATTTTGATTTTTTTTTCAGCGATGAAAAGGCGGATGATGTCGAAATAAATCTGTGATGAAAAATATAGGGTGTTCCATTTGAAAAATTCTAATGAACGTAGTCTGAATCTTACGATATTCAAAATGTAAATTTTAGCACCCTGTAAAGGATCATCTCGCAAAATCACTGGATTGTTGTACGTGAGACCTTGGTACTACTGAATGCCAAATATATTTCAAAAATTTGAATAAATGAATATACTATACCTACCCAATTCAACATGACCCTTCAATAGTAGTAAAAATGGGTTTATCAATTATAACTTGGCAACGCCGCAGCCAAATTAAATTTTTCCCAGAGCGATGTAGAGCTAAGCCTTTGCGGAATAAATTTCGAATGAAAAATACTGGGTGTTTCATTTAAAAAAACTCGTCTCCGAGTCGTCCCGCTTTTATAAAACACCCAGTATTGTTGAAAATATTTTCGAAATGGGAACCTTTAATAACCGAATAAATTTGTTCTCAAAAGTTTTTCTCTATTGATGATGGATTTCGAGATATCGAAGAATTACGCACTAAATGGACACACTGTATAAGTACTTCAAAATATTCGGGTTATACATCGATAAATTGTTGCATAATCATTACTACGAGTGTCAGTTTAACAGTTGAAATTCTGTTAAACTGACACGATTTGTAATTATTGTGCAGGAAGTTTGAGATGCATAGGCTTGAAGACTTTGATTTTCTTATTGTATTCGATTCGATTATTTTTTGAGTAGTCTGCACAACACTTGTATGTAACAATATGATAATATGAATCAGTTACTGTGGAAATGGAAATTATTATAAATTTCTGATTGGTGGAGCTACTCTATGTATATCCACGTATATTCTAAATTATACAAGGTAGCTTAATTCACTTGAACGTTCTGATTGGTTTAAAATCATACGAAGAAAATCATCACCAAAATGCCACTATTCATTCTTAGTCACTAGTAAGACCAGAATTGCCTAAAATCCAGTGTTGTAGCGGTCGATGCTCACACGGCCAATCCTGACCGGCATAAATAGATTAGTTTCAATAAAATTGAATTTACTTATGGTTTGTTGGACGAAATAAATTCATGGAATTATTAACTACTTTCAATGACTAGACAGAAAAAAACTCCATTCCCGATCACCGGGGCACAACTAGGTACCTATTATTTATAGCACTAGTTCAAATATAACTATATTTCAGTTCCAAGTGATGATGATATTGAGGCAGCCATTTCAGGATTTATGAAAATACAAAGACATATCACCTCTGGCATTGAAATAAAGACAGTTACATTGTCAGAAGCCATAACAGAATGTTGTTTTGCAAGTATACAAGAGGTGAGTTAGAAATGAAGACCATTACTGATTAATACGTAGGAAAGTGATCGTAGACGTCCTAACATTTGTCAATTTGAATTTGAATAATTAGAATAGACCATCTAGAATTTATAGCCAAATCTCATCAGAATTGGGTGTATAGTATATGTGACAGTAATAGTAGAAGTTCAATCAAATTTGATGAGTAGGTAAGTCTGTCGCATCCGTTTTAAGTTAACTATCACAACCTATAACTCAGACAGGAGATACATTTTATCTAGATTCGGGTATCTTGTGCTCAGAATTCCATAGTTGAAATATTTTAAATTAGTAATGAAACTCCCATAAAATTAACAGACATGAATAATTGTATCAAATTGAACATACTTTTGCAGCGGAAGGTGCTGCTTCTCTATCTGCATAAAGAAAATGATGATTTTTCAAGACTGTTCTTGAAAAACGTCAATAATACGAAAGTCAGTAACATTATGAAGAAGGATTTCTTTCTACTTGCCTGGGATGTAGAAAACACGCAGTACCACGGTGATATGGAAAGAGCATTGTGCGAGTTTGAACTGTCTAGCCTAGCAAGTTTGGTACGAACCAAGACATGTTGTGCCCTGTTCATCCAAAACATCTCTGACTGTATAGCAGTGAATTCCAAGTTGGCCGGAAAAATTCCTGATAAGGACTTTCTGAATGCATTAGTGAACACATCATCGATTCTCGCTGCCGAAAAGAAGCAAGAGGTTGATTTGCATGCGTTGGAGAGGACTGCCGGCAGTAATAACGACATGACATCAATTAGATATCAACAGCTCATGTCAGATCTGTTGGGAGATAGAGACTACGATAGTTTTGAGTACAATCAGCATCAAGAGCTGAAGGATAAGATTGCCTACGCTTTGTTTGGCCCCCCAGAAAAAGAAGAAGGGTATGACAGGAAGCAAACATCCAGAGCTGAAAAAATATATCTTTCTATCATTGAAAATAGCAGTAAGTCAATAGTTATAGAATCAATGTAGAGTAGTTTATTTGACCATGTTATATACATACAAATACATCTATGGCAAGTCACAATTAAGAACATGTTTCCGAAGAACAATATTAAATATTGAAAAAGTAAAATACTAAGTAAATATTCAAATAAAAAAAATTAATTAATACTATAAAAGTTAAAAGGTAAAATTTATGAGGATACATAAATTCTAGAGTACAGAACAGACAGATTAAAATTCATATCACATCCTTGAAAAGTATGGTGAAAAAATAATAAAAATAAGCATGGCATTAAAATGATTAGAGCTTTAGTGAGTTAGCCGATATCATGTAACTGTCAATATCATAAAAACAGTTATTCAGGAGAAACTTTTTTATCACCGATTTGAATTGTTTGAACTCCAATACCCTGACAGATGAGTGGAGAGTATTGTATAAATTGATATTCAGAGAGTTTTTGCAGCTAACAGTTAATCTATGACGTGGAATAATCAGTAAATCAGCTGATCTTGTATTGTATCTGTGGAAATTTGAATGTTTACTAAAGTTGCTTACATTTCGATGAATCTCTAACAAAACTGTATATATATATATAAAGTTGGCATTGGCATGATACCTAGTTTGATGAAGTGTTCATGGCAATGATCTTGATACCCTAATTCATTATTCCAAATTTTTTGGGATTTTCTCTCCTCGTTTCTATAAAATAAAAATATGAATATTATTTCAATATACGTGAAAATTTGATATTTTTTTCTATATACCTTTATTTCTCTTCTCCAAAAATTTTTCAATACAAATTGTCACTGACAAGCTAGTGAATTTTTCTTTTAGGCTCTCTGATAGGAAAATTCTTTAAACGCAGTGACATTTTGGGGCAAATCATCTGATTTGTCCTTACTACATGTATATTGAAATAATATTCATATTTTTATTTTATAGAAACGAGGAGAGAAAATCCCAAAAAATTTGGAATAATGAATATACCACCTCCTCGATTAACCTACAGACAGTATTTATTGATACCCTAAATTTGCTAGTATTCGAATAGCTTTTTTCTGACATCTGAAAACTGCTAATGCATTCCTTGAATTTCCCCAAATTAATATACCATAAGAAAGCACAGAATGAAATAATGCATGATATGATATTTTCAAGATGCTGAGATTTGTTAATGCCTTCAATTGTCGTAATACGAACAGGGCTCTGGATAATTTTATATATATATATATGACTGTTCTATAGGATATATTCGGGGGAATATTAGCGGGAAGCAGTTGTTGTGATCAATATTAGTTAGATTTCTATGTTTTATTTGTCGAGCTTTCGAAAATGTTCATTTTCTTCATCACGATTTGAAACATAATATATTTCGTGGAGATCGTATTGTTTTGGAGTTTTTTACATTTACTCAAGGACATTAGGCGTGTTGGGACTAATACGTCACACCAGTCAAACCAATCAATTGTGTGTGTGTGTGTGGTTTGAAAAAAACATATTTTAATTCATCAGTATCGTCCTAGTATGAATGGAAAAATTTCAAATTATAGTCACTGGTAGTTTTTTGATATAGAGCTCACGATGATGTGGTTTAAAAACATCAGCGGCCTCCCCCATTGTTCAAGGCACACTAAACCTTTGTAAGGTATATTGATTTGAATCGAGAAATTAACCACTGATAAAAACTACTATCTTTTTTTTTTTTTTTTTTTTTTTTTTATCGCTTGGAGCGCACGAAAGGGAATCCCTATAATGTTCAAAGAACATCGTGCGTTCCTTGGGAGGATAGGGACAGGAGGTAGGTATTGGAATTTTTTTTGAACTTTTGGAGATTATATGTTGTTGGGAATACTTCCACAGGCAATGAATTCCAGAGCCTAATGCTAAATATATAAGAAAGAAGGTATGCCACTCTCGAGATTGAGCTGGAGGACATGAATCATGCGCATTTAGAACTTCTCATACATCTTTCTCACTCTTACTACGTTTTTCAACACCAAGAAACATGACTCGCTGTTGTGGACGATATTCATCATCATATCATAATATTTTTCAACTCATTCTTTTTATTTTTCCTTCCATATTTTGAATCAAACACCACAAGTAGATGTTGAAAAAAGGCAGGGCCGGACTAACCCTATCAGGCCCCCTAGGCAATGCAATTCTTGGGGCCCCTCTCCCCTTTCTCGTACCCTTTTTTAAATTTTTTCCATAACAAAAGTCGAGTCGATCAAATCGACTCCTTTGGTATCCTGTATAGTACCGTGGATACGTCATTCGATGTTTCAATTTGACAACAAGCACCTATTGCCTGTAATCAGTGGAGAAATTACGTGATAAGAAAACTAAGACAATTGAAAGCTCGTTTATTTGCTGTTCCGCCTTGGAATATATTTGAACGCATACAAAAAAATTGCCATCCATCCATCGTTTTATAAATTGATTATAATCATCTGAAAAAAGAACAGATTCATGATCATGATGGATCTTGAAACAGAAATGAGACGCGACGCGGTAATATAAGGATTAGGGAATAATATTGAGGGAGTATACACTTTTTCAAAAATAAACTCGTTCAATAAAACGTTTTTTTTTTGTTCGTGCACGGGGCCCCTACTCGGTGCGGGGCCCCTAGGCAGTTGCCTAGTCTGCCTTATGGATAATCCGGCCCTGAAAAAAGGGTATGTTACATCGAAACATAATTTTTGGTACAGTTTGGTACCCTATTATGAGGAAAAAACACTATTTTTGTCAAGATGCAGACTTCATTCATCTCTAAAATGGTGAGTGCTATCGAAACTGAAAAAGAGTTTTTATGTAAAAATTATTATATAATATTTTCATATTTCCTGGTCAAAAAGCTGAAAATTGCAGAATAAAAAGAGTTTATCGTTATCTTATCACAAAGGGTTTCGAAAATATTTACAAGAAATCATGATCTCGGGCCTCTTTCATTCATATAAACTTTTTTCACTATTTTTGTTCCTAGAATCTGTGGTTGAAATATTTCTATTCAATTTCGGGACACCCTGTATAAAACTGATAATTCATTCATAAGTCCCTGTATAAATCCGTAGAAAATAATCTATTGGAGTTTTTCCTTAATCACTCTGCTTTTTTGATTTTCAGATGAAATTTCTGAATTCAGAGATCTAGTTGAGATATCGTTCATCTACAATTGTACCGAACCCCTGGCTAAGGAAAAAATTCAAAGGGCAAAGAAATATGGAAATAGTTATAATCCCAATACAGATTTGATGCCAGTTCCAATTTTTGTGCTGAGAAAATGTCACAATAGCAATAACCCTTGCAGAATTTTCATTGATGATATTGGAAGGGTGTATCAATCTTGGAATGAATATAAAAACAAAAATAAACTACATGAATGCAAGATGGTGCTTCCTCGTGATGGAAGGTGAGTTATATTGAGCATGAAACGTGTTATTTTACGAAATGTGTCCTTGAAAACTGATGTTATGTAGGTTAATACTCATAAAAGTTCTGATGAGGTATATTTCACATTGTTCAATTCCTCTCATAACAGAGAGATGTTTTTTAAGGTAGTAGTAGTAGTGAGGTGGTGAGGTTAGAGGTCAGTCATGTCAGCTGTCTATCTTCGTTAATGTATTCAAGATATTACCTCACTTCAACTCGTATAATGATATAACCATATGTTTGTATAGAAATGTTTCTACTTACAAACTGCCAATATTTCAGTCCGTTTGTTTCCTACATGTATATTTCTGAAATTGTTCTTTCTCAACATTTGTCTGATGTTCTTGAATGCGGTGGTGGAATCTTCCTATCCGACTAATATACGCTCACGTCTAGGGGCAGGCGTCACAAATTGAAATGCAGCAAGTCTACAGACAATGTCCCAAAAATAAATAGCGAATCACAATCGGCATGATCAGTTAATGCCTCCACAGTATTTCTTTGAATTACTTCGAAAAACAAAAAAAAAATCCGGAATAGGATTGGATCCTGGGACCTTTGGACTTTCTAGCTGGTTCCTTTCTGTATTATAGACTCTTGTAATTCTGGAAAACAGAACGTTTACTAATGCCCACTACGCAAGCTACTACTACTAAACAATGTAGGAATCTACTCACTTACAAGGGTATGCAGATGATGTCATTCTTGTAGAGGGGCAGCATCCTGAAATTATCTCAGACTTGATGCAGCGAGCCCTGAATATAGAGGGCTGGCGCAGAAAGGCAAACTCAGGCTCAACCCTAGTAAAACTGCACTTGTGGCCTCCACGAAGAAGAAACTGGATAAACTAAAGGTTCCTAGACTTTTTGAAACACAGCTAAGTATGACACAGAAGGTTAAATATTCAGGAGTAACGCTAGATGCTAAACTTTCCTGGAATACTCAACTGCGAAATACTGTCAGAAAAGGCAAAATGGCACTAATGAGTGATGGCTACTCGAAGAGAGATTGGTGGACTGAAACCACGCATGGTACATTGGCTGTATACTGCTGTAGTGAGACCAATGATTGTATACGGATCGCCTGCCTGGTGGTCGAAGACTGATCAGAGATTAGCTATAATGGAACTTTCAAAACTCCAGAAATTAGCTTGTCTCTGCATCACAGGTGCAATGCGCAGCACTCCTACCGCTGCTATGAAAACCTTACTCAATATTCCGCCTCTTGATATCTTCATCAAGGCACAGACTGGAGTGTAGTGGCAACTGGCATGCTAGGGGTGACTCCCTGGGGCATACCAAAATAATCAGCCTAGTTTCAAGCCCACTAATGGAAATGGGAAGTGACAAAATGCTGCACAGAAATAACTATTACAGACCCTTCAACACTCGGCTCTACTGGGATGAAATGGTATTGACTAACTGTCAGGAAGGCACGTTAGTTAGTTAGCCGGATTATATGGAGATAGACTCAAAACTTTTTTGTGTTTCCTTGTGGAGGTATGCTTCAGTATTCCAGGCAGAGGTGCATGCTATTGAGGCATGTCTGAGAGAGAATATCGTGAGAGGATACAGAGGTAAACAAATCCTCATATGCTCAGATAGTCAGGCGGCCATCCAATCTTCAACATGCAATAAAATCAGATCCAGACTGATCTGGGATTGCCTTCAAAGCCTGCTAACCCTGGCTAACGACAACAAGGTAACACTTCAATGGGTGCCAGGGCATAAGGAAATTGAAGGCAATGAAGCAGTTATTGTGTGAGGCTGCAAAACCTCATCAAGGTAGCGAACCTGTTCACCTGAGTCAACAGCATGATCAGGAATAGTCCCAGAGGCTGCAGTGTTTTGGGCTTCGAACTTTCACTGATCAGCTATATATCAATCAATCAACTAGACAAGCGCAACTCTGCACATTTTAATTGGTCTAAATTTGTGTCCACCCTACTTCCTGGACGTGAACTTCATGATTACTATCCGTACCAGTGATTGTAACTAGTAGGGATATTATTTACATGTATAGATTTTTCTACTTAACTTTGAGGGTGTAATGATGTAGGGATGATTTTTTAGTGAACCAGAATTGTAAATATGGAGATTTTTATACTGTTAGTGTTTTGTGGCAAAATAGCCCAGACAGACTGATAATTATATTTGAATATAGATCAATCGGAACCATGATTTTCTATGATCTATGGTTTGTGGCAGACATAATTGGAGAATTATTAAAGCTTCTTTGCTTGACTTTCAAGGGTGCGATAGTGAGATGAAAATTATAAGTTTGAAACTGACACGACGCTGCACTGGAAACACTGACAGATTCCAGTGCAATTTTTGCGTTCCTCGTAGTTTGTGAGTGGACATGTTTCTCTGACAAATTTCATTAAATACTAACCCAAACGTGATCACTGTCGCAAATCGTTTTCTCCTCAATGCTCTCTAATTGTTTAAAATAATTATTGGAATTCAATACCGCGATCAATCCATTGCAATTATGTTACAGGATGCGTCTTATTAATGTGAATATTTTAGTTCACTCCTACTTTGAAAGTGAATTCTTATTTCTATGCAGAATGTGAAAATAGTCCCTTTGGTTGTTGAGCATTTGAACGCTAATACAGGGTGCAGCAGAGCCGATTGACGAGTATCGAAGGGTCATTGCTCGGGCTGTGGTGGGGGGGGGGGGCAAATTGGTGCAGAAGGGCTCTGTGGGGGTCTTAGGGTCTGTAGTCATGCTTGTTCCAAGAGTGGAGTGCTGCTGACTACGTGAACCGCATAAATCGTTGTTAGGAAATGATTCAGCGCATCTACCCAAGAAAAAAGTTTTTAGTAGTGATGAGGCACATTTGCACCTTTGTGGAACAGTGAATAAGCGAAATGTCCTTGGAATACCACACCACTCACCTTAAGTCACAGTTTGGTATGCTATGTCTCAATTCGTAGAGATAGGCCCTTACTTTTTCTAGGAGTAAAATGTCACCGTCACAGTAATTTCACAGCGTTACAGCTAAATTGAAGAACACGAGGTGACATCTGCTTCCAGCAGGATTGGGATACTGCCCACACAGCTCGAATTTCACTAGCTTTTTTGAGACAGATGTTCCTGGGCCGACTCTCCTGAGAGGGGATGTGGGGTGGCCAGCGTGCTCACCTGATTTGAGCATCTGTGAATTCTTTCGATTCCAGCGATTTTGAAGAATTTTTTCTCAATGTTGAGGAGGGAAACTTGTATTTTGGAGCTAAGCAGTGTCCATTTTTTCTCAAAAACTTGTTTTTCTGTTTCGAGCCAGGAGCTATTTCACTTCCAGTCAGCTGCTTTTGATCTATAAGGCACAGATCCGACCTGTCCTGGAATACTGTTCCCATATTTGGAGTGCAGCATCCAAACATACCCTGAAACTGTTCGATTCTGTCCAAAAAAGGGCAATTCGTCTCGTGAGTGATGCCTTGCTCACAAACTCACTCACTTCTCTGGAACACCGTAGAAAAGTTGGCGATCTGGCTCTATTTTATAAATATTTTCATGGACGATGCTCTTCTGGAATATCAACAAATGTTCCTTCCTTGGCAGTCCCCGCGAGATTAACCCGACGAGTTGAGGCACCCCTTAGTGGTCACTTTGGAGACCTGCAGAACATCTCTTTCCAAAGACTCGTTCATCCAACGAACAGCGAGGCTGTGGAACACATTGCCAAGAGAGGTGTTTCCCGAGGCATATGACCTCCAGAAATTCAAGAAATACACCAATTCCTACCTTATTTCCCTTGGTTCTCACGATGTTCTCTGAACATTACAGGATATCTCTTTTCGTGGGAACCAGAACATATAAAAAAAACAGGGTCTACTAGATCACATTTAGAGGTTGAAAAATACAGAATCCATATTAGCGGTATTTTAGAAAAAATCTGCGTACGCCATAGTAGACCGGCCAGTATGCCTTTTGGAGGGTATCATTATGTAATGAATATATTTTGATGTTTAAAAATGATACATTAAAGAATCCTCCCGGGTTCTTAATGCATTGAAGTTGATTAACATTATTTGTTTGCAAGCTGCATGTGTTTCAAAAGGAAATATAAGTATTTGAAAATATTGAGGCATACCGGTTGCGTGACCCTGAAAGGTGATCACGGTCAGGTGTAGTTGCATTTAAAAAAAAACATTTTTTCTCGTTTTCAAACAGGCTGCCTTCAAGAATTATACATGTTTGTGCTATACATATGCTACTCAAAAAATGGGATACCGTTTGCGCATGCCCAAGTACACCTTAACTTTGAGAACATGCTTAAATTCATGAAGAACATGGGAGGATTCTTTCGTATATCGTTTCTTGACATCAAAATATATCAAAAGGAAGAAGGAAAGCTCAAAGTCATCTCCAGCTGTCCTTCTTCCTTTCGAAAAATTCATCTCCACTTTGAGCAAACATGGACCAGAGGTTCATCAAAATATACAGGGTGTTTCTTAAGTACGTGTAGAAAATTCAGGAGCATGTTTCTGATGTCAAAATAAGAAGAAAAGTTAGTATAAACATATGTCCAAAAGTTATCCGTTTCTGAGATACAGACTCTGAAAATGAATTCTTATTTTTGTTTTTTGTTGAAATTTGGTAACTAGGGGTATTTTTCGATGACAATATCAAATTTTATGTTAGTTTGCCTCTTTCGTGGGGTTGGCGCCACCTACATGTCTTTTGAGTCTTTTGAAAAGTCATGACTTTTTTGTGCGTACCTGTATAACATTTTATAGTAGACAAATAGATTTCTAGAACACTTTTGTGTAAAAAATATATTCGTGGTAGAGGTAGCTGCGAGCAACTGTTTTCGAGTTATTGGGATTTGAATAAAACAGTTGAATAAGCTTGGATCACAAGTACAACAATCTCCACTGTCACAAGAACGGATTGAAATAACATGACAAATACTCAATTGATTGTTATTTTTTCAAATTGGAAGAGTCCAAAAAAGAAGGTACAAAGTAGTAAGAATCATATTTTGATTACATTCCAATGTTGAGTGTAGGAGAATATTGAATGAAAGAAGAAAAATGCACTGGCGTATCTCTCCTGATATTCATTAGAGCCTCATGGAAATAATTCAAATGCATCGATTATTTCGAATCCCAATAACTCGAAAACAGTTGCTCGCACCGACCTCTACCAGGAATATATTTTTACACAAAAGTGTTCTAGAATTCAATTTTCCTACTATGAAATGTAATACAGGTACGCACAAAAAAGTTATGAGTTTTCAAAACATTCAGAAGAAATGTAGGTGGCGCCATTTGTCATTTAAAAATTTGATTCCGATATCACAATTATTTCGAAATTTTTCAACAAGAAACAAAAATAAGAATTCTACTTTGACACTCTGGATCTCAGAAACGAATAACTTTCGGACATATATTTATACGAACTTTTCTTCTTATTTTGACGTCAGCAACATGCTCCTGAATTTTCTACACATACTTAAGAAACACCCTCTGTATACATGATACCCTCCAAACGGCATACTGGGTGAAATCACCTCCGAAAATGTGTCACTACCTGCCAGTCTATAGAGTTTTTTCCGATCCTCTTATGCAGGTATGAGGTGGACCGAAACGACAAAGTCCTGCTAGAGACGCATCTGTCTCCCGCCTGCGGCCTGGACATCAAGATCCTCCAGGGGGCGGACATGGTCAGCACCGGCGCCGGCCTGGCGTCCGGCGGCGTGTTCCTGGCCGCCATCATACCGGCGGTCACGGTGGCGCCGGCCGTTCTGGCGGTCGCCGGCGTGGTAGGTGCCGGCACCGGGCTGTACGCCATCGGGCGCAGCATTCACACCCTGGTCGACAGGTCGAAGCACAAAGAGGTGAGTGCGTCGCTCAGCAGTGCCGGATTTATACTCCCTTACGCGGGGGGCTAACTTTCACTAGAGTCCCTGTATATACCTCAGACAAGAGTCCGGACACAAAACTGACAGCCGTTGGGGTTTTTAATATTTTGTTTCATTTGGTTTGCCCACCTGACAATGTGACGAAACACCATAGTCGTCTCGCCCACTTATTTTAATTATTTCGAATTTCTGTCACTGTCACTTTGAGATTTTATGACCGCCAACATTTTGCATTGTGTCCTGCTGCGTACATTATTGCGATAATTCATTAGAAAAGGGATTCGAGTTATTCAATTTTCCGAATGATCCTCTAAAGATAATGTCATGGAAGAATGCAATGAAACGTCCAGAATGGAAAATTAATTTCAAGAAATCCGCAACATGTGAGGTAAATATTCGAATTCACTTGTAAAAACAGTACGAAAAAGATGAATTTTAGGCCCATTTTGATAGAGATTCTTTCAAGCTGATGGATTTCAAATTGAAAGAGTCTGCTGTGCCGTCAATCTCTTCAAAAAAAGAGTTCCGTCGTCATCGTATTGGGAATTACTGAATGATACGATCGCAGAGAAAGAAAATGAGAATGAGATGATGCGGAGAGAAATTGAAAGTTTGAAATCAAAACTAGAAGATTTAGGGGGAAATTGCAATGTGCTATGTCATCAGTCCACGGTGTTTTTAATTCAGATCAAATTAAAAAATGTACTGGTGAATGTAGACTGCAGGAAGAGGTGGGAAACCGACACAATTAAAATTATATTGAAACAATTTAATATCTTCTATTTTTTTATATCCCAACAGAAAATCTAATGAAGGAAAGAAATATCTGATGACGAAAATTTGCAATAGCCATCTCAGGAATTTATTACGAAAATTATCGATTCGAAATTTGAACACCCTGTTGTTCATTATTTGAAAATCTAATAGTTATTCTAGTTAAAATAGCCCTATTTCTCACTTCTACCTACGGCTATGAACGGTTTGACAAATAATCTAACCCTCAAAATTGTTTCTGACATCATTGATACTAGGGGAATTGAAAAGACAGAGCTCGATATATATGTCTTATTCCTTTATTCAATCATCAATGCATTTTTTGAAAACAGAAAAGGATAGAAGTACAGTTGTGTCCGGACTCTTTTCTAAGGTATATACAGGGACTCTAACTTTCACGATGCCGCCGCACCGCCGCCAAATATTAAATTTCAATTGTCAGTTTCAAAATTCAAATAATTCTTTCACTGTTTTTTTTTACAGCATATAACATTAACATCAAATCATTATGTACAACAAATCAAATTATAAATGCAAAGTCGTCAATGGCATCATCAAAATTCAGATTTAATAACAATGTCACTGTTAATACTTGAAATTTATAAGCTATTCAATGCAGGGTTGGCCAATATAAATCAAGTGATATATATCATGATATGTATCATGATATATATCTGATATTTATTGATTGATATATATCATGATATATATCATTTACTTCTTTTTAACAAAATAAATACCGGAGCAAAAAGTCCTTGATATTTTGCGTTAAAAATGAATACGTGACAACAATGCGTTTCGTGGTTATAACTTACAACTCGGGGAATCCCCGGTTTTTGTTTACTGCTTGTTACGTACATGGTACATCAGGCGTGTTCGTTTGTCCTTGCTCTACCTGCTGAACTCGATTTTTTTCTATGACTTACTTTGTTTACATCATGCCATGAACAGAGACAACTATGGAAAAAGAATCAACTTTAGCAAGTTTAGCAATACAAACGAACAGGCCTCACGCTTACAATGATTTGGTGGAAATCGGTTGCAATTCCTGACTCCGAATGGCCAAAAAAAGAACTCTTCTTACAACTATGTGAGCAGTTATTCAGTGCAGTAGCGGCAACAGCTGGTTAAGGAAGAATTTTTTCGAGTTTTGGAATAGTTCAATCTAAATTAAGAAATCGTCTAGGCAACGAAAAAGCCAGTAAGCTAGTATTTATTTTTAAATGTTTAAACCCAAATACAGATAAAAAAGCCAAAAGCTTGGACTGGATCTCGTCGAATGATGAATTAGTTGCCTTGAGTGAAGATGATAATATTCATAATGATGATTATATTCCTCTTTCTCGGTTTTGCAATCCTTAAAAATTTATCGAACGACAAGTTTTCTTATATTACCATATATTACATATTCAAATTCAACTGAAGTTTGATTATTTTTTAAAAACCAAAATAAAGGTATTTTATATTGTGTTTTTTTGGCATATCAGCCTAGGAACAAAATCGAAATTTCTGATATACAGGGTGTTTCCTAACTACGGTTCCCAACTGCAGGTGGTGACTCGTCAGGTCGTTTTAGAAAGAAAAGTTCCTATCAACATATGTCCGGAGTTGCTTCGTTCCTGAGATACAGGGCGTTGATATTAAAGAAAAAAAACCGGTAATTATAAAATATCATGAATATCCTGGAACCGATTTGGTTGAAATTTGATACTTTCATTTGAACTAACAAGGCGCTTATCTAGCCCTATTCAGATTGAAATTATTGGGGCCAGTGGCGTCTCAGTGGGCACCACAGCAAACAATATTGTAACAAAAAAGTACGCCACTGACGTTTCTTGGTGAATTATTATTTTTATCAGATTAAGCAACTCAAAATACAACTTTTTGGTCTTCTGTATTTTCTTCATATCCAGCTTCGTTTCCAAGAAAAACCAATCAAAGCCATTGTATTGCATTATCATAAACACCTGCATTGGAAAAATTAGTTTTTCAGTATTCCCGCCAAAGATATAATTGACACTTATTGGTATGCTGAAATTTAAGAGAATTTGACAGATAAAAGTACCAAATTTAAACCAAATCGATTCCAGGATATTCATGATATTTTATAATTACCTTTTTTTTTTTCTTTAATTTCAACGCCCTGTATCTCAGAAACGATGCAACTCCGGATATATGTTCATTAAAACTTTTCTTCTAAAAATGACCTAACAAATCACCCCCTGCAGTTAGGAACCGTAGTTAGGAAACACCCTGTATATCGGATATATATCCGATATTATGATATTTTGATATATATATAAATATCATGATATTTGCCAACCCTGATTCAATGTATCCTTCACCATGGAATTCCTAAGGTAGTGTTTCACTCTTTTTAAAGCTGAGAATGACCTTTCACCACTGGCATTACTAATCATCAGGGATAGGAAAATTCTTAGAGCTACTTCCACGTTGCAAAAAGTATCTGTGATCTTGTATTTGTGCAAAAGCGCCATCAACGATCTTGCATTGAATATTTCATCACTTTTGTTTTCGGCAATAGAATTCAAATCAATCAAAATACGTGCTTTATCTATGATGACATCATCTGGCAGAGATGCAATTGAGAACAATAATGCGAATGTAGGAGAGAGATCTTTGTAGGCTTCAGCACGAATATTTACTTCAACCACCAAATGGTCGACTGCTTTGAGGAATACATGGGTTCGCATTCTGGTCTGTGGTGTCAATAAAGCTTCAGTGTCGGAGTTTTTGTGCCTCTATTTCGTAAAAATTTAACTTTTCCCGCAAACATTCATACTACTTTCTCAATGAAATATATAAACTTAGACATGTGTCCAGTACAGGCCTATGCTTGAGTTTTGCAGGGACTTGCTGACTTGATCTGCTCTCTCTAATATATCATATATTTCAGTTTCAATATTTATTTATTATTAGTACCATTACCAACAATACCAACGACAACCTATATTGAATACTGAACTCTGATTTTGTTTTTTGTTAGACGAATCACGAAATTACCCGTACTCTACTGAGTAGAATACGTTTTTTTTTCTCATCATCAAATGAAAGTATGTACCGCAGCCGCTTTTCTATTGTAGTGCATGTTATGATTTTCACAAAAACCGCAACCAAGTCCTTCTGAAGCGGTGCCAGCGGTAGCTAATTGCGCGTTTGCTTCAAAAGGCGACTTGAGAGGCGGCATATGAAAAGTAAGAAACAATATAATATATTTGTCGCCTCGTCGGCGACGTATTGCTGCTGGTTTTTCTCTTTTTCTCTACCGCCTCTTGAAATTCACCGCCTGGGGCTGATAGTCTCATAGCCCCCCCCCCCTACATCCGGCAGGGACCTCATTTTTATGAATCGTAAAAGACCACGCGCACACTATAGTCTAATTTGCTAACGGAGGAGCCGCCGAAATTAAACCGAACGACAGCAGTGATGCCAAGTGATGCACGTTTGTTATTGTTGATTATTGTTAGTGGTACTTTTATTCTCGATGTCTTTTATGTTTTGACCTCCGAAGTGGCCTCCTTCCTTCTTTCTTATGCAGAAGGGATATTTCTTTCGGTCGCGCCTGATGCGTGATCCGATTTCGACACGAATTCGACTGAAGCGCTCTCGTTGTCATTCTCGCGTATGCAGTGAATTCATATACCCAAACGGTCTAGTGCCGACTGTTTCCTTTATCAGAAAATATTTGAAGTCCAATAAGTTAGTGCGTTTAGGATGAACAGTCTCATTTTATTCAATTTTGTTGAAGAACTTGACTTTTATAATTATCAATCAATGTGTTTTTACACCGCATTCTGGTTTTCTTTCCTCAAAAAATATTGCAATAAGAAAAAGGTTAGTTCGTTAAGGATAAATAGTCTCATTCCATTTAATTTTGTTGAATACTGATTATTATCGAATTCAATCACGATTCAATTCGAATGCACCGCCATAGCGCGAATCGTTCTTATTGGTCTGAAAATGCATTCATACCGAAAGTCATGGTAATGTGAATAAAGTGAGTACTGAGATAAAAATCTTTCGGAGTAACTTCGGGTAATTTAGGCGGCTCCTCCGTTAACCCTTTATGTGTTGGTGGCTTCTAATCTGGCCACTTATTTTGTGCACAAACGTGAATATCGATCCCTTTTTTATCGGCCATACACAATTGAAATATGTTCCTCTGAACGTTTGGTGTGCTCATAGCGAGCCACATGTACCACAGTCGAAGTGGAAGGGGGATTTAGTGACAAGTGGCAACATGACTAGCCACCAAACCTCTGTTGCTTGGCAGTGAATGTCGGTAAAACGTGTTGTGCTCTGGAGTTTTACTAATTTTTGTGGATTTTTTCAACAATCTAGCCGATTTAAGTATTATTATATCCTCAAATAGTGTTAGATATCATATAATAATGCATAAATCATTAAAATAATCTACCGCTCGGATGATATAAGAGTTAGAAGTAGTTGGAGCATGATATAACCTAAAAATAAATTCTATCATACTGTGACCGAATACTAACATGCGTTGTTTGGAGTTGTTCTCAATACAATAGAGATTTCGAGAAATATATTGAGGATAGCATTATATGTCTAGTCATGAAAGAAAACAGTTTGAATGTTAAAATTATTGTTTATATATTATATAAGTGATATATTCAGAGTGCTAGATGTTTGGTGGCTAGTATTTGTGACACCTAAAATAAAAAAAACTACTGACACTTTCGAAGCGTAAGTTGCTAGAATTCTTCGGTTGGTTATGTTTCAATATAAATTGACCAAAATAATAAATATTTCTTCAAAAAAGAAAGTTGCCCTATAAAGGGACAAGTTAGACTCTAGTCACGCGCACTGAATCGACTCGGATCGGTCGACTTGACTCGGCACAGTCGGCACGTTTTGCTAATTAGAGTCCAGGGTAGCACCTTCTGAGTAGGCGAACGTACACGAACGTAAGAATGTCCTTGATTAGCAGAATTCCTTCAAAAGCGTGCCGATTTATTATTTGTTTTGAACATAACTATGTGGGGATTAGAATTTTGAATCATTGATGAATATTGAGAGATCCGTATATTAACAGCAATTATAGAGCATACATAGTTGAATATAAAATTAAAATATTTAATCTGGGCTAAATGCTCCGCCTCGCAAATGCAAAACTCCCATGTCAAACAAAGTGTCACTTTTGATCCTAAAAAAACAATCTACTATTTTGTGCAACCGACTCAAAAGTCGTCCATTTCAATTCCAAAATAAGCTCTTGAAGTTGACGTTTCTAATACTGACATAAAATTAGTTATCTATGTTGCTAGGCCACACTTTTAGTTCCTAGGAGCATTGAGGGTGTAAATATCCAAACAGAATTAGACTGCAACTTTTTATAATTTACCTATGGAATTGAACTTATTATCTTCATTCTTGCAACCGTAGGCCACTCAATAAACAACCATATTTTGGTTATAGATACACTATAGAAATAGAAATTCACGAAAGATGCACCTAAACCAATAACCTAAACCATTGATGAACGATATTTTCATTCACAATAAATGCAGACTAGGATTTCAACAAATGCGAAAAGGGAAATAACAACTCCATCAGTTATATCATTCTCTTTCTTTTGCCGCTGCCACAATATTCCATGCTTCAGAATCAGTTCCAGTTACGTTAGTGTATAATTTCAATGTTGATGAAGCAGACTATCACGTACTACCTAGATCTAGTGACATTTGGGGATATTCGTCTATGATTAGTTTCTCGTCTTATTCCCTCCACGCCCACGTACCCGAAAATAAGAATAAGAAGAAAGCTGCCAGTATGGTCTAATCTCAAACCTTCAACAACCACTGCTGCCAGACTTGAGCTAACACTTTCTTGAAGAATTTGAAATATCTCTACAACCTTTCAACAGAAATTCAAATTAGTATGATCAACCTCAAAGAGGGGCTGTCAGCATCATTGTTATTTTGTACATACCCATAATTTTATAACCGTCAATTATTATGTTTCGTCCCATGGTTTCGTCTATAATTCCCATTTCATCAGGTATTCGGTATATAATTTCAAAAAATAATGCAACCACTTCCACCCATACTATTTGTTGAATACGTCATTTTAGGTACCATTGCTAACTATAATGTGAATTTCTCGTATCATTAGATTTCCCCATAAATCTTGTACACTATACTGGCGTAAAATGGCTCGCATCTTCTAGCTGTGCTTACATGTTTTCGTCATAAAAATTTGTGAAACTATATCTTCACGAATTTTTTCTGTACTAAAATTTGATCGCACGAAAAAAATTAAAAACATGTGCTCAATGAATTCTGATTAACTATACAGAGGAATGAAAATTTGAATATTGGAAATTTGCTCATTGTCTACCATGTCGCTGTCCACTGCTTCTCTAGGTCGATCATGAGACAGGACGGAATGGAGTTCCTGTTTCCCTCGCTATCTATTGAGAGAAGCAGCGGGAAACGAAATAATTTGATTCTAAAATGAGCAACACGGCCATTTTTCTCTCGGCAGACTAGCTCCCTCAATTCAAATTTAAGGCACCAGAACGTGTTCAACTAGGTACTGCAAGTTGAGACAAATCATTTTCAAATTGGGACATCAACCCAAATTGGTGAACACATTCAAATTGATATTACTTACTTCTAAATTCCTAGGCAACTAGATGACGTTTCAGTCAGTTATAAAGGACGTATATCATGTATATAGTTGTTATTATCACATACTGAAGAAACGTTCGAATACAGAATAATAAGATAATAAGAAGTTGTTTGATTCAATTAGAAACTTAACAACTCCACAATAGGAAAGGACAACTGCAAATTGAAATCGTCAATGGAAATGTAAAAATTGTAAGTTGTGATCGAAATTTGAGGTCGAATTTAACCTTATGTTGAAATAACTTTTACACGGAGGAACACATGTTGTTATGGGCTGATTATTATGTGAATAAACTTGCTTCATATTATTGGTATAAGCAGAAATGGGAAGAACAAATCTCTATTTTTAATTACAGAACTGAAAGTGAATAATAATGATGCAAAAGTGATGCAACTCGCAAGTGTGTAGGAGATGAGGTTTAGGTAACCCATTCTAAATTTTAATTTTCATTCGAATTAGGTTGAAAAATGGGTAGGTATAATTCTTTAATATATCTAATTTTGATTATATTTTATGTCGCGATATTTGAAATTTGCCTGTGTCCTTTTGCTACACAAAATGTCATCACCATTGGCTGTTCAGGAGTTGGTCCAGACTTCCAGCTGACTGTTCTACACATTTTTACCACAACAGCCATTTCTCATTAAATGAATTAATATTACTCATAAATTCGGTCTGCTGCACATGATAATGATGAATTTGAAGGATAGTCGAATCATATGCAGAATATAGTGTACGTTTCCATTTGGAATAAGGAAGTTGGTATTGAATTTTAGAACACCGATCAAAGTTCTCAATCCAAATGCAAGTTGTAAAATTTGTAGTGCCCTGGAAGTGTAGATGACAAAGTTCTCCACTACTGTTTAGATTGATCTCAAACTTTTACTTTTTTTTCAGACCATGAGCTTTGCTAATTCTGAAGCCAGAGGTGCTTACTTGAATATAGTAGCCGGTGCTTTAGGATTCGTAGGCGCAGGAGCTAATATGGCTGTTTCACAACTTGCAGCAAGAGGATTCAACATCGGAACGGTAAGTTAAGATTTCTTAACAATGCCTGAACAGAAATATGATTTATGTCGTTCGATTTTTCCAAACAAACTTTGTGCTCAGTAACCAGATAGTGTGAATATTTGACAAAACTTTCGATGTTTTGAATGTTTTTATCCCGTAGTTTTTCGACGAATCATGAATTCCTCAGTTATGAAATAAGGAAAAAAACATTTATTTTAGGGTGCTGGGGCAGTGGTAAATACTTTGGGTGTAGCTAATATTGGGGCCAGTGGCGTAAGCCTCATTAATAGCACAATTGACGTAGTTGATCAGTGGATTAATGAAAATCAAACTCCATCTCTCTTGACGATCGTCCAGTTGAGTTCGTCGGTTCTCTTCTTTGGCAATGCAGTCTACAATTTCAGAACGTGTTCCTCCATTGTGGAAGAATCACAAGCTAGGGCTCTGCAAGATTATAATGATTCTTTGAGGAGCAATAGACATAGGTAAGGATGTATGTTCAATATCACTATTACACAAGGCAACTTCTCAATATGTAAGAACACTTATTCCTAGAAACAATACTATGATGTTCATCACGATGAAATGAGACACAGAGAATTTTTTTGAAAGTTTCATTCCTTCTAGATTTCCAAAAATTAATTCCCAAAGAAATGCTCCCGTTAGAACACAAGCTCTTTAACGCGCCGACCGTCTATTGGTAGTCGGGAAAAAAATCTATAATTCACCATTGAGTGAGATAATACAGCGTTCAGTTCAAAACTCACTTGTTCTTGTTTTCTTATACACTGGATTGTGTTATATTATGACATAAATATTAGAGTGATGTCACCATAATTTGAGGTTCATTGAAATGGCAATTATTCCCAAATTATTCAGTTATATTTTATATTGTTGTATAACCTATGTATAAACGAATAATTCAGGATTAGACCGAATTTTGCCTCTGCTGATCGAACCTTCAACGTGCTACAAGCTACTCGATCAGTAATCATGTCAGCTATATAAACTTGTAGAATAATTGGCAATGGGGGTGAAACCTTCATGACATCTACTACATCAATGAATATCAAATTATCTCAACATGACAGTTGACAGAGTTGGATGAACGAAAACTGAGAAATATTTTCCTGATATTTCCTTAAAATAGAACAGCTGGCAACACACCTAGGAAAATGGATTAGGTATCAATTATCACGTTACTACTGGATGAAAGAGTTTGCTGTCGAATTTCCATGAAACTATAGGGTATTCAAATGTTTTATGAAGTATTACAGCATATTTTATCAAAAAATGGATTCATTCATGTTATGGTATTACTATATTTCAATTATATGCACATTTGAATTGAATTCACTCATTTGTGTTGTTGCCTTTCGTCGTATTTTATTAAAGTGTTAATTTCAAAACGAAGTTATTAAAAATTTTATGCTCTATTTTAGAAAAACTTTCAATAAATTGGTGAAGGAAACAATCCGTCAGAATAATGGAAATCAGGCGAGCGGACGCGCAGAAGTGATATCGGCGATTCGCAACATGCCTAACAAAGACGAAGTCTTCGCGGCTCTAACAAGAGCAAACAGAGATATGAACCGAAGAGGCATCAGATTTTACGTCAACGGAGGAGAGATAACGTTGAACGGTCAACCGATCGACATCAACAAATTCACCATAATGAGCAAGAATGAAACGAGTGCCTTTTTGTCTAAGCTGCCCATGAAATCTAACATATCAACTAACGAAGTGACATCGATGCAAAAAATATTATCCAATGTCGACATTGCCATGCCTGAAATGGATGCAATAGCTCGATATGCTGTGCAATTACTAGGTTCTTACACAGGAAGCATACAAGGACTCATCGTGATTGCTCTAAAAGATCTATTAGGCTATATTTCGGCTGAGTTCCAGCGAATCCTAATTGAAATATTCCCGAAGGCGAGCAAATATTATAATCTGCTCAATATGTTGGTTGAATTTTTCAGCAGCGTAGCCATTAAACTTTCAAATGAAAAGAAAGCAGCTCCTATGAAAGGAGATGGCCAATACGTGAAGTTATTCGAAATTGCTGTGAAAGCGTGTTTTAGCGGAGGTCACCTCAGCGAGCTAGCTCTGAGAGAATTGATGGAGTTCTTCAGCGCTTGGTTGACTGAGAAGATTTTCACATTACAACTAAAAGAAGAATCAGAAAGCAGAAGGCAAAACCATTCGGGAAGGCCTAAAGTGAGAGCACACTGCCATGTTTGCAATGGGTATTTTTACAAAGCTTCCTGACTAGCTAGTTCTTGATGAGTACAAAATCCATTTATTCGTAGTTTTTGATTGTTTTATCAGTATGAAAATTCATTGTCATTAATATTATTAATCAATTTGCTCTTCCTGTTTTACACTTTTGTATTATAATGAGTACTACCCAAAGATCCAATGATATGCCCTTGCCTTACCGAATGTGTACAAAGTATTGAAAGTAACATAAGATATAGGAAGGACCATCAGTATGTCTGCTTGTGTAACAGATAACTTTTCGTACAACCATCACAGCTAATGGCGCACTTGCGTTTTCTCCAAAAATTATTCTATTCTCACAATCTTAGGCGCAATTGAAAATTTCAATGCGTTCAACTTCACTGTCAGTTATCGAAAACTTGAGCCGCTGGACTGATATCGAATATTTTACATTCAACCAACCCCATTGAGGCCGTGTGACACAACGCATTTTGTTTTGTAATTTAAATGCTGAGAATCCTTGATTGCGGCGAAAGATTCATGGTCAATTCTTGTTCATAAACTTTCCTTCATAAATCCCTTTATGAGATTTTGATGTTGTATTCTAATTGAATTTCGAACAATTTCAGTTTCAATCTGGAATTTTCAGTTGATGTACTACTTCTGCAACAGTATTATTGTCAATGTGAAATTCTGAGCTGAGACAAATATTTCAAATGGGACACTTAGATTATTCTATTTTTAGTTACAGGGATGAATTCGTTTCATGTCCTTATCATATTGATCATCTTTATTTACATGTTTCATGTCATCGAAATAATGAAATTCACCTGGGAATTGCTCATATAGTTTCTGTTTATTTATTGGAGGATATTTTGCCAATGTTATTCACTTTATTGTGGCCTGCGTTTTTGCGGCTCGAGTTTGCTGCGACTTCGTTTGTGATTGATTGTGGTGCCTTGGAATTGACAAAAAAATGTATTGTGAAGATATAGTAGATATAGTTTATTACATTCGTCTAAGGAGCAGGCGTCACAAAGTATGTGGAGCATGATTCGAACCCGGGACCTTTGTCCCATGTGTATCGTCCATATTGTTTTCTAGGCTCTAATTCATATTATATTATATTATTATTATATTCTGTGTTTGTATTCCATTGTATTACTGACGAAATTATTCACAAAACAATACAAAATAGATTGATATAGAAAGAATTTCAATACCAGGCAAGCGCAACTTCCGCTCACTGATTGGTCTAATTTGTGGCCATCCTGCTCCCTAGACGTGAAATTGTTTTTCCACCACTAGCGATAGAACCTATACCTACCATTATTTGCTCCTTTTGGAGACGTGTTTTTGCTACTTATATAGGTAGTTTTCTTCATTTCATGAACCACTAGTCAATAAAGACATATGAAATCACTGTTCTGATGCAATATTCACAGGAATGGCACTCGATTCTAGTAGGTATGTATCAATAACGACTTGTCTGTCATATGTTGTAATGGTGACTAGAATTTAATTGGAATAGAAAAGAAGTGCTTTCATAGTGACATAGGTCCACATTTCAGTTTCATAGAACTAATGATTGAAATATATTGCTAGTGGTGAAAAAAATTCGATATACCCCTTGGTAGTAAAGAATATTACTACAGGTCCTTGTACCCTTCGGCTGAAGCCTCGGGATATAATCTTGGTCCCTGGGTAATAATGATCCGCTTTACTACCTTGGTGTATAAATAAATATTATTACCTAATGTTGTCAAATAAGAGGTGCTTTTGCACATATTTTATATCTACACTTTGAAGCATATTTTAGGGATTTGTTGATATAGGGATTGACAGATATTGGAAGTCATATTAACAGTAATTATTATTACAATAGAGGTGCTGTGCTATTGCATATAATTTTTGTACAAATAAATACTGTCTATTGATCGAACTATTTTTCTACTCCTTCAACTACACCTTTTCCAGATGTATTTCAGAAAGCGTCAATTCAATTTCAGAAAGCGTCAATTCTATTTCGGAAAGCGTCGATTGTATTTCAGAATAGTCAATTCAATTTCAGAAAGCATCAATTGTATTTCAGAATAGTCAACTTAATTTCAGAAAGGTCAATATTGTTTCTCTGAATAGTAACTTGTATTTCAGAAAGCATCAATTGTATTTCAGGATGGTCAATTGAATTTCAGAAAGCATCAAGATGGATTAGTTAGTAGAAAGTGCACTCCATGTAAGAATGCATAGGATGTTCAGTGCTTCCTGTAGTGATGTTTTCAATTCATTCACCCCAAATTTCTTTTTATGTACCTTTAGGTACCTATATATATACTATTTGATGAACAGATTACAGAATTTCAGGTATGGGGACCATGAGAGATACACTTATTTCTATTTCTATGAAAAAGAGTTCTGATTTTTACATGTTTGTTCAATCGGAAGTGACTGGCTGTTTGAATGATACTGTGAAATAGGCTTCTTGATAACATTTACAAAATCATTCACGATTTATAAATAAGTTGTCTGGCAGGAGAACACCCCGTGGAAAGTGTCTGGCAATTGTATATTCTCTTTCATGATAGGGATTGAACATAAAAAGATCAGCTTTTGTTGAAATGATGTTTTTGCCAGTTTTTTTTTGTACTTTCATCACCCGGTATCTCTTGATAGCCCATCCAGTACCGATGATTTTTAACCCCCAAAACGAGGTAAATGGTATGACTAGTGTATATAATCGATCAAGGAACATACATAGAAAATATCAACCTTGTTGGAATGGTGTCTGGCGGTCGCTGGCTTTCAGTATATAGAAATAATACAATTGATGTTTTCTGAAATTCAATTGACGCTTTATTCTGACATTCAAATGATACTTTCTGAAATTCAATTGACACTTCTGAAATTCAATTGACTATTCTGAAATACTATTGACGCTTTCTGAAATTGAATTGACTATTCTGAAATACAATTGATGCTTTCTGAAATGCAAGAAACTATTCTGAAATACATTTGACGCTTTCTGAAATTGATGAATTGACTATTCTAAAATACAATTGACGCTTTCTGAATTACAAGTTATTATTCTGCAATTAAATTGACGCTTTCTGAAATACATCTGGAAAAGGTAGCATAATATCATATCTGCGGCGATAGTTTGTTGACTTTTTGACATTTCAAAGACACACTTGCTTTGGTAGATTTACAACAGTAACATCACGATGTTCTCAATATTCATTTAATATTTGCACAGGTATACCGGGTGTTTCCGAAATGGGTAAAATAGAACACGAAAAGACGAAACGAAATGAAGAAATACATTTTTGTAAAAAAAAATATATTTTGGAAACTTATAACCAATAAGGGTTCAAAAAAGCAGGTGCACGCAATGTTGTCGGACGTTCAATATTTTTGTGAGACAATATTTTTCATTTGTTATTTGAAAGACGTGAGGTTTAAGAAGTACAACATTTTGAGTATAGTGTTACTATTAAAAAAAACAATTCCAGAAACGATTGAAATTAGACATAAAAGAAGAATTTCACGAAAGAAAACAAAGATGATAGTAAAATTTACGTTATGTCTGGAAAGGGTTATCTATCTATCTTTTCAATAGTTCACATCAAATTCCATACACTCTCACATATACAGTCTGTTCATCTTTCGACTGTTTGATTTATCAATTAATAACTTGGCGAAGAGCTGTTTTTATACAAATAAAAAGTTTTCAAAAAAAGAATAAAATTATGATCTGTATTTTGAGGAATATATATAGGAATCATGTTAACGAAAACTTATATCTTATTAAAGATCCTCCTATTTCAATTCCAAATAAGTTGAGTGTCGTACGAATAAGTTTTTTGCAAAAGCACCTAACAATTAAGATTCTGAAAAATCTTCAACATTTGACATTGTTCCTGAAATATCCTGAAAAACCTGAATTAGTATTATGATTTTCCAATGGCTCAATATATCATTCATTATTAATTACATATACGTGGAGACTTTAACTGGAATAAATTCGTTAGCGAGGAGGTGAATGATTTTTCTGAGAATCATAATCTCTGGCAATGCATAGAGCAAGATGGTCACCATTAAGAGCATCTACGGGAGCATTAAAAATCTTTTTTATTCAAGTCTGCCTCTTTCAGGGCCAGAACTTACATAATAGAGAAAATTAATTAGTTTAAAAAAATATAAAAGTTTAAGGGGTTCTCGTATAAAATTTTCTATGTCCTAAATATCAGGTTATATAGTAACAATAAGATATCGATCGATATGAGGTTTTCGAGAGCTCGTTTGGGCATCATTAAGCAACTCTTTCATGAAAAGAGAATCATACCGATGCATTTGTTTTTTTTTTTCAAAAATATTAACTATTTCTGTCGGAATGTCGAAAAAATCGCTCTAGCGGCGACATGTGTAACTAACAGAACTTCAAATATTATAAAATTTGTAACCCAAGAATAGCTATCTTTTCAACTAGCTTAAGTTTTTTACAGGAACTTTTGAATACCCTCACCACTTTATTTTTAGAGATACAGTAAAAGTTGTCGAACAAATAAGGTTCAGATTTTCATCTACATTAAAAATCAATATTTTTTTGTTAGATTAATATGGCGGAATTCAGAGAAAAATTACTTTTTTAGATTCAAGATTACAGTAACGCACCCTAGCGGTCATTTGAGAAACTTGAAAATATTTTCCAGGGGTTTCTCTTGGCCGTTTTAGTAATGACTTTTTTGCCGCAAGTCTCTATGATAGGATAGTTTCCCAGATACCATCAGTACCTCGCATTCTTAGTTGGCCACTCGGTTGGCCATCCTGTACATTTATAACTCCTACATAATGACGAAAATTTTCACATCTTGCATAATTAAATATTATATTTCAGCAAAACAGGAAGAGATTAGACATAGCCCTCATGAAGAATTAACGGTAGACACATGTTTTTATGAGTGCTATGTCCAATAAACTCTTCCTATGTTGCTTAAAACAGTTCTCTGAATATTCCTTTGAGCATTTAAACAATTTACAAACACACACAC